AATATCTAATACACAACTCAGTTCGAGTAAAATTCATCACTTTTGCTTTATGTAAATTGTACTTACACAGTGAACATTTTACTCAGTTTGGTGTAGGTAGAAATTGAGTTTGTGATTGAAGGTTCACAATTTTTTTTTTAATGTAACTTGTATGTCCGTATACGCATTTTTTTTTATTAAAGATGCGTAACACCTTTCCAAACTTCCAAGAAACCCTATAAATATCAAGAACTTCAAAAAATAAAATTTTGTCCTTGAATCTATTTTATTAATTTGAGGGACGTCCCTCCAACACAGACACAAAGGCGACCAACCACGTGTAATCTACATATAATTACCGCAAATTAAATAAGTCGTTGTTTAGTAACATTTTCAGTGTAAACACAATGCGACACCCACCTTGCGAGGCCTTTGAAACGAAACGCCCCATTGTGGTGCAAATCTTTAGAAACGCAACGACTTGCCGTCTAGCGAGATCCGAAGTCGGTGTCCCCCTTGCAAGGAGTAGGACAGGTTCGCTATTATGTAAGTCAAATAACGAGGAAAGTCCCTGCAGAGGGGCACGATTGAAAGGAATACACCTTAGGGGCGTCTTATTATGTATTTTCTTCTTAGTTAATTCACAATGTGGGCAACACCTGTTGCCACGGCCTTGTGCCTACATGTGCTAATTTAAATACCTGCTAATAACTTCGCACAGTATTGATCGCGAATAAAATTTTTAGAATTTATCGACAAAATATTGGACATTTTGTTCCTTTGTTCTTGTAAATAATGTTCGTATATTGGATGCACACTAAATATAATTGTATTTGACATTATTAATTTTATAATAATATACAGCCTGTCCCACTAATACGCGGTCAAATAGGTATAGGTGAAAAAGTGGATAGACGAATTTTACTTTTTTCGATATTGCCAGATTCAACAGTATTTGCAGTTGTACAGGGTGTTTCACTAAAGTGGCCAACTTTAATTTTTTAAATTATTCATTATAGTTTTTAAATGTCATTTGCTGAAGGTTATAGTGTTCGAGATATTTTTTCGTCAAAATGACCAGTTACTTGTCTAGTTAGGCTAGCATCTACTGAAATCTTCTGTTGAAAAATAGTGGTTCTTTCAAACTCTTGTTTTAAAAGTTACCTAGTTACAAAAACCTATGGTTACTTCTAAAAAATTGAAATTGTGAAGCACTCTGTATAGCTGAAAATACTTTTAATTTGTACTTAGATCGTGAGAGATCTGGGAATATCGAAAAATGAAACATTCGTCTATCCTACTTTTTCACCTAGAATTCCGTGTACTATTGGGACAGGTAGTATTTTTTCATATTCTCTGATTCATAAATATTTAATAAATAATATACGAGTGAAAACTAAAACTGATGGAGATGTAGACGTCGCACCTAAGTAATTTCAATTCATGTCCTATAACTGTCTACCTAATAATTTAAATTGGCAATTTTTTTTATTCTATATTTATTTGTTCATATATTCTCAATATTTAGTTAAAAGATAAAAAGAAGATAAAAAGAAAGAAATCTGTCTCTCAACCATTTGGGAGCATACCTAATTGTTCTGAAATATATTCTTTTCAAACTGAAATCATAAATACTGTAGGTAGTAATCTAAAAAGTCAATAGTTCTTTTTTTTAGCTTGAGGATAAGGTTAAACATTAGTGTAAAATATATTTCATAATTTTGTGTAGAATGAATACCTTATGAATAATACCTAATTTGTTATCGAATGCATAAATGTAATGCTCAAATAAGAATAATTAGAAAGATTCAAATTGATAGTCACAATTGTCAGAAAGGAAGAAAGTTTCATGATTGAGAAGCAGATAGAAATACGAAAAAGTCCTTATGTTTTTGATAAAACAGAACTAAAGATAGTTGCAAATAAAACATATAGTGTGTCCCAGAAATAAGTACCTACTCATCAAAAGCAACAATAAATTTTTTTCGAAAACTCACATTTCTGTAATGTATTTTCTATCCATTAATATAATGCATGTAATGCTAATGAGCTGTCTATGAATTAAAGAAATACCTATGTAAAGTATGCGAGTATTATTCGAATACAATGTATTCAAATTAAAATATTTGTGTAATCAGTATTCAAGTACTGAATATTTTTATTTGACTGTATTCATTGTTTAAATTCATCAGTTTTCAGTATGTTATCAGGATTCTCGTAATGAGTAATGAAAGTATTGCATGAATAATCGAGTATACATGAATACTCAAGTAGATAGGTACTCATAAATTTACTCAGGATTTATCAACATTTGGGGATCATTCTACGTATTACTTATATAATATCTGCAATAATCTTTTTTCATAACTAGTTACGTTAAAGTTGGGGGAAGGTACTCATATTTGCAAAAGTTGAAATCACCACCGGCACCGTAGAGGAAAGCTTTTTTTTACAAATAAACGTGATGTTATGGGGCATGATTTGTTTATTTTAAATATACACAAAATATTTTTCTGCTTATTCTGAGGGCTTTTATTCTAAATACAGACCAGTAACCTTATTTTTACTCTTAAAGATGTATCAATTTTTTTACGATTTTGTTACTGTTATTACGTACATATTTTTCTAGTTATAAGAAAATTATAGAAGTAAAGAAGTTGTAGAGTAACCTATAAAGTTTATTGTAGTTTTGTGACAAATTATAATAAAAAAGTACCCTGCATCATATAAGAAAATTTTTGATGATATTAAAAAGAAGTAATTACACCAGTGATTTGTCCATTTGTCCAAGATTGTCAAATCATGCTTCTTTTCTGCTAAAGTTAAAAAATTATAATAAATTGTATATAATGTGTAGAAAATTTCTATTATATGTTCATTTGGCGAATATCATATTTTAATTATTTATGCCCTCAAACAATTTTATTATACATATTGATGGTAAATTTCGTTTTGTTCCATTTCAAAAGGTTTCCAAGATGTCATGTTGTAATAATATTAGTAAACAAAATATTCCTCTTATTATTTCTCCCTTTCGCATGAACGATTAATAGAAGGTGCCTATAATAAATTAAAATTACCTGAATCACACCAAATTTCACATTGCTGCACTGCACTGCTAGGCTGTCGACAATTGAATTTAAGGCCAGGTGGCCCAGTGCGGCTGTGTTTGTGCCGCGTTTGCCCGAGCGCACATTCTTCAACTGGGCGACTAGGCCTGTATATGGGTATGGCTAAATAAATATGGGAACAAATTTTTCAAATATTGCCATGACAATATTATTACATACTGCCAACCTCTTGGTTCTTCAATTGAGATCGGAAAGACTATAAAGGTTGTTATTTTTTGTCCGCCAACTTTCAGCTGAATAGAAAGAAACCTTTTTCGTTATTTTTAAGTTGTTTTCTTTCTCAATCTATTAGATATTTCAACTCATTAACATTTTCACCGATATATTTTAATTTGGAAATTGTTAGATTTGACACTACATTAGGTATTTTATCATAATTTTACGAAGAAAAAAAAGTAAAAAAGTAACTAACTAGTACCCTAACTTTAATATAAGGAAAACTTAAAATAACTTCGACATAAAAAAATAAAAAATAAAAAAAATTGTACTTAAATGTTGGGCTGAAACCCAAGCTCTGATTATTTAAAATATGGTAAATTCTAAAATTATGTCTTGTGTGTTACGTAGTCCTATATTTACACGTAAATATTTTACACTGTATTCGTATAATGCGAATAATTGATTACAAATATTTTGGATTCCTTGAATGCTGTATTCAGAAATTCAAGTAATTATGAATATTTTTTTTCACAGTATTCATTACCCATTCAGCCCATGGATTCAATATTTTTTCTGTATTCATACCCAGTTCTGATTATTCATGAATTTTCTTTTGTGTGTGTTTTCTTATTATTAATTAAACTAAGGGTTTCAACTTACACCTCCGTGGCAGGTAAGAAAAATTAAAAAATATGCATTTGATGAGTTAAATCAGTGGTTAAAAGTTTGGCATTTATTTCTGGTACACCCTGTATAGCATATTTGCTAAAAAAAATTTACGGTGCATTTTTCTCGTTACTTTCCTATTAAATGCCATTACTTTGACTACCAACTGTGTCAATAAGTGGCAAACTATGCACAATATTTATTTAAATCGTGCTAAACGTTCTAGATATTTCGATGAATTTAAATTTTTCGATGCCGATTTACTTAAGTAAATGATAAATTAATGATAATGATTTGTCTTTTTATAAGTTTGCATGCAAGATCTTCTAATTTATAGTGAAATTTAATACTCCATGTAAATACTTTTCTTAAGGCAGTTTGTGTTCAGGTAGGATTTGTGTTTACACTTTTTTAAAAACAAATTAACATTTTGGTGATCTAATATAGATACAAAAAAATAGAAAGGTGCGCGAATTTGAAGCAACTTAATTTGGTTTGGTTAAAATTAATGTAGTGACTATTTTACATTTTTCATTTGATATAATAATGCTGGATCTCCGGAAGTGATATCGCATAAATCACTAATGAATTTAACGGACAACTCTAAATCAGCAGGAAACACAACAAAGCTGAGAACGCACCCGCCTGTATAATTAAAACACAAAATCAGCCGAAGGGCTTCTATCAAAACTCCCAATGGCATTTATTTGTCGAGGGTGTAAGTGGCCATCTGCAAGGGAATCCTGTTAATGATTTGTTACATGACAATCGGCATAAAACCGTTACGCTGAACGCGTCGTTTCCAAAAAATCCTCCGCTCAAAATCCGTTACGCGAGTTTTCCGGACAACTAAACGTTTAACGTGATTTCCCCGTTGCCAATACGCTGGTGGTGAGTCGCGGCGGCCAATGGGGGTTGCAGACTCGCCCCACCCCGCATGAGCTTTGTGTGCAGACAAGGCGGGGTGAAGCTTTCCATTGGGGCTTAAAATCGGGCTTCTACCGGAGAGCTTTACTCAGTGAAATGTGAGTTCCGACTTCAGTCGGTCGTGAAGCTTTACGAGGTATGCCTCGTGTGCAATACCACCATGACATGGAATTTGCGAGTTTCAAGAGTCACTACGCATACGGGCCGCCAACGGTGTTGCAGCGTTTAGGGTTGGAACCGCACCTCTTCAATTCAACTGCAGTCCATCTTCAGCAACACTTGCAATACCTGAGATATTCGGAGCCGCTGGAACTGACCACCGCCTGTCCTTTGGACTTGAGTCTGAAGAGTCAGGCGCCGATCACTCCGCCCTGTACTCCATCCCCGGGGTGTAAGAAGTCCAGCCAGTCTCCAACGCCAGAAGTTCCTACTAAGAAGCCCAAGTTACCAACTCCAAATTCCACGAAGAAGAGCAAAGCCACGAGAAAACTTAATTTCGACGAAGACAACAGCTCTCCCGTTTCCGGAACAATCATTCGCGAATTAAGACCGGACGAGAACCTGGTGATAAGGAAGGGCGATATTGATCCCGCCTTCAACGTCGTTGAAATCACCGACGAAGCCAGGGCTGAGCTGGCAAAGATCGAAAACGTCATAGGCGACTACGTGTGTCGGCTTTGCAAGGAGCTCTACGAAGACGCCTTCGGTCTAGCCCAACACCGATGCTCCAGAATCGTCCACGTGGAATATCGCTGTCCGGAATGCGACAAAGTCTTCAACTGCCCAGCTAACCTCGCGTCACATCGGAGATGGCACAAGCCGCGGCCTAGCAAAGAAAATAAACAAGAAGAAGTCGCCGAGGGGGAGCTGTGCGAGCAGTTCCCGTGCGGAGACTGCGGGAAGCGGTTTCGAAGGATCGCCTACCTAAGGAAGCATCAGGCTGTACACCAAGTTGAATGACAACGGCTCGTTCCAGTGAGGCCCATCCCTAGGATGCCGCCACGCCTCTGGAGACCGCCTCCACTGCCTCCGATTTGCAATAGTCAGGGTAACTCCGCTTTTACCCCTGACAGGTATGTACCAAACTTCTCTTGGATTCATCATTTTTAAGATGCAATGTAAATAGTGTAACATATTCTTGTATATTTCTCGGAACAGATTTCGTATTGATCTCATATTTTTAGGGTCTATTCAATGATACCATTATCTTAGATTTTAATTTTTGTAACTTTCTAGTCTTCATAACTCGAATTGGTCAAGTTCTAGTCACTATCTAGTCATTCCCTTCTATTTTATATTGCACCAAAGATTTTTCTAGTCTTTACAATTTAGTATTTCAATAGGATAACGTATATAACGATATATATAATATTTAATTTTGTATTATTTATTCCAGAACCAATATCATTTAATTATGTAATTTAAAAATAGTTTTATATTTTATCAAGTTAAATATTGTTATACTGAAACTAATTAGTTTTTAAATTTTCTTAGTGATTGTCCAAAATCAAGTATATTTTTTAAATTTATTTACTAATGTACTCTTTAATTTTTATGCCTCATTTTTTTTTACTCTCTTTGAGTCAAACAAACTAAAAATACCTTCAAAGCTAAATTAAATATCATCACACTGAATCTAGTCATTATCTTAAATTTTCTAGTCCATTGTTCAAAATATAGTATAATTTTTTTATTTGAAAATTATTGCTAGCTTTACATAGTTGATTGAACTATTTTAAAAAATATATTTACTTTCCCTAAAAACTCTATTTTTAAAGCAATATAAAAATAACAATATCTAGTCACTATTATTTTGTAATAATCCTTAAATATAACATTCTAGTCATTCTAGTCATTCTAGTTTTCTAAACTATTCTAGTCATAACTCCACAACTTCTAGTCATTCCATGAAGTACCATTAGTCAGTAATCTAAGTAAATATACAGGGTGGTCCGAATTTTATGCAGGAAACTTCGAGGGCAGATAGATCTCTTTAAAATAATATGTGTTTGCCTTATAAACATAGGTCTGGAACGGCACCGTTTTAGAGATACAGGGTGTTGAAGTTGTCAAAAAAATTGATTTTTTGTTTATATCTCCGGAATCTATTAACCGATCTCGATAAAATTTGGTACATATAATGTATGATAGTGGACCTTATATTCCCTGAAATATGAGCTTTAAAGGTTCAACCAGTGGTGTACAACTGGACAGGGGTCACCGCTTTTTTACAAAAAAAAACTACGCCACTGCATTTTTTACATGTCATTGTAACTGATTTATATTTTGATGCACAAAATACGTAAAAAAGGTGACTTTAATTTTTTCCCTAAGATTCGCCGTTCTCAAGTTATTCATACAAATACAATCCCCTTGTGGCAGATACTTCTAACGATAATATTACAAGAATATTTGTTTATGTTTAAAATTAAGTGCAATTTGTAAGCACATCAATAAAATTATTTATACTCCTTTCTACACCACCTGTAAGGTAGTGTGCGATATAAACAAAAAATCAATTTTTTTTTAAATCCTCAACACCCTCTATCTCTAAAACGGAGCCGTTCCAGACCTATGTTTATAAGGCAAACACATATTATTTTAAAGAGATCTATCTACCCTCGAAGTTTCCTTCATAAAATTTGGACCACCCTGTATATGTGTATAAGAGGTAAAAAGAGATAGAGGATTAGTCACTGTTATCTTATTTTAGTTCTGAAAATTTACTGAGAAATTATTATTAAGTAATAATATAAATATTTTTCAATATATTCATCTCTTTCTTATCTCATGCATTGTATATAAGTAATTAATTACACTTAAAACAAATTAAATGTGAGTAGTGCTAATATGTCTTTCTTATATTATATTTTAATTAATTTTGTATTTATTAGTAATGTTAGGAAAAATGTGATATTAGATTTAATTTAGTTCTTATGGATTGTATCTAAAATGTTTCGAAAGTTTTGTAAAGATTACTTTTAACTCATATAAGATATGTCAATGAAATTATTAGACAAGTCAGCTGCTCAAGTTTCAAATTGCAATATATTTTAAGAGCAGGCAATATTTAATATTTGACGCTGTCAGTGTGTTTCCATTTTTTTTTTTAATTTTTGATGTAGGTAAACCTTATACACATTTTAATACAAAAATCTATAGTTGCATTACAGTCTAGAGTCTAGATGTAGAATTTTTAATTTAATTTAATTTTAATTTTTTTTTTAAATTATTTTACCTAGAAATTTATACCTAAGAATACAAGTGATGTTGCTATTAACATTTAAAAATTAGGCTTATCTCCGGAAACAGCGAAAGTAATGAAGAGTCAAATAATGGAAAATTGTTCTTTCATATTTTAAATTCATAAATTGAAAATGGAGTAGGTACTAATAATTTCATCAATACTTTTATTGTACGAGTATATAGATTGGTTCGCAATTTCGTGTATTAAAAAAATAATTAGGTATTACATGAAGTCAGTGACGAATTAAGAAAGCCTGAAAAAAAGGTTCTAAAAAAATCTTAATACGTCACGACTTCCATAATTTCGAGGGCATTAATTGTTTAAAGACAGCTTTATCCGCTGTTTACATCATTTCAGTTCCTGGTACACAAAATATGTGCATCAAATTTGTTAGTGAGGAAAGTGCTCGCACATTTTTTTTGCGTTGTATAATTTTAGATTTAGTTCAAAGTGCGGGCGAGGGATTAAGTTTGCAATACGCTCCAAGCGGCAACTTACCACACTAAAAATTTAGTTTTGTTTAAATAAATCGTGAATTATTTGCCATATTCTAAAGCAAAAGTATATTCTAGTCAAGGGCGATAGGTCAGTAACTATTATTCAAATATCAGAAACCGTCTTTATATCGTAGTGTTGTAGTCTTAGTATATTTAATATATGTATATAAAATAGATGGGCAATCTATAAAAGCGAGTGATTCTAGTCAAATTTTAGTCGAACACGTATTATAGATATATGTCTAGTCAACTAAAATTATTGTATATACCAAAAATTTTCAGATTTTAATCTGTAAGAAATAATAAGTATAGTGAGTAATTATTTTAATTTATAATATAAATGTAAATGATTGTATATTTTATCGAAATATTATTATGTATATATTGTTGTAAAAAAGATTAATACAATGTATTATATATAAACTTGCTTGTGTGTTTATTTTATGAATAAATTTTAATTCGAACACATACGACTTGTATTTTGATTATATTTTATTGTAACGAGCGCATTCGCCAAAATATCGAAAAATCCAATTGGAAATGGGATACAGAGAATTTTCTTTATTAAATTGTAATCATTATTAATAATTCTATATCTATAGGTAATACATAAATTTCGTCAGGTTACGATTTTTTAATAAACAGTAGGGATGATTTGCTCGCTTAGTAAAGTAACGTTTTGTAAATATACTTAATGTTGGTGTTTATATGCGCAATATTTTGTTCAGAATTTTAGAAAATCTAAGCAAGTTAGAAATAATATCTCTTCACTGTATCAGTATTATAAGTTTTCTTCAGGGTATAAGACAACTGACAATACATTCAACATAAAGGAAAAAGCCTATTTTTACCTCGTATGTTTATCTTACTTTTCTTATATTTTGCAGGCCTGTTGCACATACAGAAAAAACGCGTACGGTTTTACAAACATAATCACACCCCATATAATGCTTTTAGGAAACTATTAACACATGCATTAATAACAATTATTATCTTTACAAATTTGCTGGACAAAACAGAAAAGGTACATTTTGTGATGTTTACATGTTCTCCGTAATCTTTGAATCCAAAAATTTTAAGGAAGTTGCTACAGTTTAGTGTTACGCTTCGTTATTTCCTGGATGTATCTACTTGTTCTGTCATTGTCTTACTAAAAGTGCGGCTTCTTGTCTATAAAACTCCACAGTGTTAATTAAGTATGTACAATAAATTCAATAGACGATTATTTGAGTGATTTTAAGACAAAAAGATCATACAAAAATTGGTCCGCAGATTTCATTTTGAATATACAGGGTGTTAAACTTTTGCAAAAAAATTGCTTTTTCGTAAATATCTTAAATACCCTTTACCCAATTTTGTTGTCATTTGGCAGTTATTTGTAGTGTTAGAGGGCTAATTTAATCCTAGCTTAATTAGATTTATTAAGTTCAGATGGCGCCCCGAGCGGTGCCTTAACGAATGTTTTTGACAAAAAAAATGTACACCACTGAATTTTTTAAATTTTATATATTATTTTAATTAAGCAATTAAAAATACAACTTTTTTGTCTTATGAATGTTTTCGCATCTTGATTAATTTTTGTAAAAAAAAAAATAAAATCCACTTAATTGCATATCCCTGGACCATACAAGAAACACGGGGAAAAATTTCTTTTGGAAATTATAATTTTTTTATAATTCTTTATTAATAACATGTTACATCTAAATAACATAAAGTGCAAATAACACTGCCAAATTACAATAAAATTGTGTAGAGGATATTTAAGACATGTACGAAATAACAATTTTTTTACAAAAGTTTAACACCCTGTATATTGAAAACGAAGCATCTGCGGACCAATGTTTATATGAACTTTTTGTCTTAAAATCACTTAAATAATCGTCTGTTGAATTTATTATACATACTTAATTAACACTCTGTATAAATGGCAATTTTTATTAAATATTTTCCTTGCCTTCAGTTCGCTTTACCTTTTTGACTAATCATTTTTTTCGGGTTTATGTATCTAAGTATAATTATTATTTCACTTAGTTAAGTTTTACGCTTCTGGAGAATATGTAGATATATGTATATTTTACATCAAGTAAGTATGGTACTTCTTTTTATAGTCTGCATTAATTCATTGTAAAGTATAAATCTGTGCCAGTAAAAAATCTAACAAATTTGTTAGATAAAAATTATTGCTTTTAAACGAATAGATACAATTATTTTGAAAT